ACATGAGCTGTTGTGAGACTTTCTTCGTGAATTTTGTCACGGTTCAAGTGACAGTCAAGCTCTATATGCTTGGTTCGCTCATGAAAAATCAGATTGACTACTATATGAAGGGCTGCCTGGTTGTCATAATGGAGAATGGCATCTTGTGGATGAGAAATGCTAAGATCATGAAGAAGATATCGAAGCTAAGTAAGTTCTGAACAAATAGTAGCCATAGAACGATATTCGGCTTCAGCGGATGATCTAGAGACAATCGTTTACTTCTTAGACTTCTAAGAGATAAGCGAGTGACCCAAGAAAACACAATAGCCGGTTGTAGACCGGCGAGGATCCGGGCAAGCGGCCCAATCCGAATCACAAAAAGCTATAAGTTGAAGCTGAGATGATGATGACAACAAAATGCCTTGAGTTGGTACATGCTTAATATACCTTAAGATGCGGTAAGCTACTGCCAAGTGAGAAAAAGAAGGCTGATACATGAACTGGCTTAATAATTGGACAACAAAGCAAATATCTAGGCAGGTTATTGTAAGGTATAATAACCGGCCAATTAACCTTCGAAAAATACTAGGATTAGTGAGTGTAGTCCCTTCAGATTTGCTGATTTTGAAGTGTTGATCCATATGACGTTTAAGGGGTTTGCATCTAAGCATACCTGAATCCGCCAAGATGTCTAAGGCATATTTCCTTTGACATATATGAATACCTTTGGAAGATTTGGCAATTTCTAAACCCAAGAAATAACAAAGACAACCAAGATCTTTAATTTGGAATTCGCGATTCAGAAAATCTCTTAGAGAGGCAATAGTGTCATTGGAATTGCTAGCAACTAGAAAATCATCAACTTAAATGAGTAAAGCAGTAAAATTGTTCCCTTCATGCTTGGTGAATAAGCTATAATTAGACTTGGATTGGATGAAACCAAAAGCAATGAAGGAAGGGGTAAGTTTAGAGTTCCATTGTCTTGAAGCTTGCTTTAGGCCATAAAGGCTTTTGAGCAATCTGCAAACTTGGGTTGGTTTACCCTTGGTGTAATCCGGGGGCTTCTTCATGTAAATCACCATTAAGGAATGCATTATTTACATCAAATTGATGTAAATACCATCCTTTGATGGCAGCCACACTAAGGAGGCTTCTAACGGTGACAAGTTTGGCAATGGGTGAAAAAGTGTCAGTGTAATCGATACCTTCCTGTGGGTGTAGCCTTTAACTACAAGTCTAGCCTTAAGTCTTTCAACAGAATCATCATACTTAAATTTAATGCGATAGACATATTTACAATCAATTGCAGCTTTCCCTTTAGGCAAATCAGTGATGGTCCAATTATGGTTGTTTTCCAAAGCTTCAATTTCAGCATCCATAGCTTTGCACCGCTCAGGATCTTTAATTGCTTGTTTATATGAGGTGGGCTCAGCTTGAATGGAAATAGAGTATGAAAAAGCTTGAAATGAGGGATTAAAGTGTTTGTAGGATAAGCAGTCAGAGAGAAAGAAATTTTTACCATTTAATTTAGGAGTTGCAGGGAAAGTTGATTGCTGAGGTCAGACAAGCTTGACTTGTATGCAATGAAAGTCCTTTAGATATTGAGGAGCTATCCTGTTCCGAGTTGATCTGCAAAGTGACGGGACATCAGGAAGAGAAATGAAAGAAGGAGATGGTAAAATAGTGGGAGAAGGAGATGATGTATTAGGACACTCAGCAGAAACAGTGGGAGGGTTAAAGGGTGAGGAAAAAGGATTTATGGGACTGGTAGGAAGTGGATCTGAGAAATTAGAAGGAGGAATAAACGAAATGGAGAAAATGGGAAAAGATAGGGATGTGCAGGAAGGAGAAGGAAGTGTTTGAAATGGAAAAATAAATTCATGAAAAATAACATCCCTTGAAATGAAAATGGTGTTAGTGTTGAGATCCAAAAGCTTGTAGCCTTTAGTTCCAAAAGAGTAGCTAAGAAAAGCACATACACAACCTTTAGGATCAAATTTCGTTTTGTTATGAGTAAGTGTGGCAGCAAAGCAAAGGAAACCAAATACTCTCATGTGAGCATATTCAGGTTTTTTTATTAAAAAGAAGTTCATTTGGTGTTTTGTTATTGAGAAGGGGTGATGGAAGCCTATTAATGATATGTGGCTATAAGAATGGATTAATTCCAGTAAGTTAATGGAAGACCAGCTTGAAAAAGAAGGGTACAAGCCACATTTAATAAGTGTTGGTGCTTCCTCTCAACAATGCCATTTTGTTGAGGGGTTGCAACACAACTTTTGTGATGAATAATGCCTTGTTGATTGAAAAAATCATGCATGTTAAACTCAGCACCATTATAACTTCTCAAAATTTTAATTTTCATTTGGAATTGTGTCTTAACAAGATGTAAAAAGTTGTAATGCAGTTTCTGGTTTCAGATTTTGCAGCAAGTAAATAAATCCAGGTAGTTCTAGAAAAGTCATCAACAATGATCAAGAAGTACTTTGAGCCATCATGAGCAATAGTGGAGCAAGGACCCCACAAGTCACAATGAATGAGCTCAAAAATTCTTGTTGAAGAATGTGTACTGTTAGGAAAAGATAAATGATGAAACTTAGCTAATGGAAAAAATTTGCAAAACTTTTCATTAATACGTGAAATTCATGTGTGTACAAGAGGATCTGAAATTAACTTAAACCTAGGAAATGATAAATGACCTAGGCGACAATGCCATAGGTCAGTATGTGAAACAGAATTGGTAAAAGAAGTAAAACAAGATAAAATGGTATTGCTGGTGGATGAATGTGCCGAGAGGAAGGTAGGCATAGCAGAGGGAAGGACTTCCTTACAAAGGAAATGGTACAAACCATACTGGAGCTCACCCGTCCCAATCGTTATCCATGAGTGCAGGTCCTGACTAAAACAGTGAGTGGAAAAGAAAAACAAACAACAATTAAGGGTAGATGTTAGTTTGTTTGCTGAAATAAGGTTAAAGGAAAATGATGGCACACAAAGGACATCATTCAGAATGATAGAATTTGTTAAGTGAATTGTTCCCATGTACGTGATAGGGGTAGAAAGACCATTAGGTAGTTTCACAGAATATGAAACAGTAGCTGTAGTGGTAGAAAAAAAGTGGTGCTGCAGACCATATGGTCTGTAGCGCCTGTGTCTAGTATCTAAGCAATAGATGATGAATGTGGTGACCACTGTGTGTGAATAGACAAAGAGGTGGAAGTACCAGACATTTTGGAAGAAGATGGAGGTGGGTTGCTGCAGTGGACAATTGAAGCCACAATTGAAGAATCCTGAGGTCTGAGCAATATCATTAGTTGCTAATATTGTTGCTTGGTTAAACCGATTTTGGCATCATTGTTGTCTTCAGGGTCAGAAGCAAATGAAAGAGATGCCTGATTTGCAAGAAAACTAGATTGCTGTTGCGGTTTGTTATGGTATTTGTGGCCAGGTGGGTATCCATTGAGTTTGTAGCATTTCTCAATGATATGGCCAGTCATGTTGCAATGTGAGCAAAGAAGAGGCTCATCATTGCCAACTTTGAAGCAGGTCTCGAAAGTGTGACCAGTGATTTTACAGTGGCGACAATAGGGACGGTCTTTCTTTTTGAGGATGGTTTAATTTAGGTGCGGGTTTGGAAGAGGTGTAAGGTTTTTGGATAGCCATAGCCATCGTCTCGGGTGAGGTAGTGTGAGAGGCTATTTCGTAGTGTATTTCTTGCTATTGGATGAGGGAAAACAATTTGGAGATAGGTGGGATGGGATCTAAAATCATAATATGGCCTCTGAGTGAAAAGTAAGAGTCATCGAGACCCATCAAAAATTGCAGCACACAATCTCATTGAGATCGATCCAGTAAGGTTTTCATAGAACCACAATTACAAGAAGGTATATGATCATAGATAGACAATTCATCCCAGATAGCTTTCAACTTTCCATAATAAATGCTTACAGGATCTTGCTCTTGAGACAGAGCAGCTAAAGCCTTCTTTAGTTGGTAAATATGAGGGCCGTTTTGGTGCGATAACAGTTCCTGGAGGTCCAACTAGATTTCACGAACATCATCAACAAAAAGAACACTGGATTGGAGGGAGAAGCTGATAGAGTTCCGGAGCCAAGAAACGATCATGTCATTACAGCGCTCCTAAAGCTCATGCAACTGATCAGTGGGTTTAGAGGGTTTGGTGATGGATCCGGTGATGAAGCCGAGTTCATTTTTCACGCGAAGTGTGCTTTGCATTGAGCGAGACCATGTGGGCATAGTTGTCTGTGGTAAGGGGATTGACAACGAAGGTTAGGGCTGGGCTGTCACCATGGTCGAGCCGGTATGTCTTCGCTGGATCAAGAAGGTTTAGGTATGGAGAAGGGGTTTGGGATTCTGGGTTAGAATGGGAACCAGTAGAGTCAGTATCGGAGGTTGCCATTGAAGATGCTCCCAAAGCTCTGATACCATGTGAAAAAAAGAAGAAGAAGAGCAATAACAGAGAAAAGAGAAAACAAAGAACATATCAATGGAGGAAAATTGAATATTCCATCTATTTAGTTTACATTGAAGGAGAGAAGTATATATATATAGAAAATGTGTAAAAAACCAACAAACTCAACCAATCACATTGTGCCAGCTAATAGACAAGTGCAATGAAAGAATAACAAATACTAAATAACAGGTGGCTATCAGACTTGGCCTGTATTTGTTAACAGAATATATGAACAAAATGACCTATACTATACTCTTGGACAGATTCTTGTCTTGTTTCAACAATTTAAATTCCTCTCCTTGTATCTTCATTGTCTCGCTAAAGACAACTTCTCGTAGGTCTCGGAATAACATTACCAAGAAGGGAAACAAGTATCTTCGTCGTCATTGGATCATGTAACACTTTCTCACGTCCTTCGATTATTCATGTTGACTTTTGCCTCTCTCTCCCTTCTCCCACCCTCGTTCCAAATAATCAAGACTGATACTATTCTATTCCAGTTTATGATTATATCAGATGACTTGCAATCTTCGTATCTCGAATGGCTTTACTGTAGGTCACCATAAAAATTGTTGCAATTCGATGTGCCTGTTTTCATTCATTCGATGAAGTGATTGGATAGAGACTGAAAATATTTGCGTTTAAGATAAGGATTGCAATATGATTTCTAAGGTCATCTTAAATAAGAACCACCTGGATTCAGAGCCTATACATGCAAACTAAACCAAATCTGTCGAACAAGGATGAAATGCAGTGCCATTTACAAGCCAAGGCCTCTTTCTCCCATACGATGGGATTTTTCGAGGTGTCTTAATCCATTCCTTGCTCGATAAATCACAAGTTATCAGACGATACTTACGTTTTGATCTAAGCGACATCATAACCGAACCTTTGTTAGCCAGGAAATCCAATTCGACTGGCTTCCCATAAAAATCCAAGCAAAACTGGGTTGGCATTCTGTCGACCACCTTCCACAAGAAAGTCATCTTCTGCAGCTCCCATACGCTGATGCACGTCGAAGCAATATTGTTCTCAAGCCCCACAAGCATGAGTTTCCCTCCGCATTCTGCTACTGTGTAATCACTCAGAAGTAGAGGAGCCGGGATTAAGATTTGTTTCCAAACCCCGGTTGCCATATTATAGTACACAATTCCATCAGGGTTTGAATGCATGAAGTACAGCGTTTCTTCAATAGAAACTGCCCGAGACTTGATATTTAGGTTGAGTGGGCGCTTGATATTCGGGGGCAAGCTCCCTGGGCAACCCCAGGAGTTCTTTGCCGAGTCGTAAATTTCATACTCACCATCACAACTAATACAAACAATCTTATATCCAGCGTTTGGAGAGCTCACATTTACAGTCATCCCAATGGCCCCAAAATCAACCGACCTAGCTGGCAACTCTTTGAAGGAGGCCGTAACAGGGTTGCAGACATAGGAAGTCATATATTCACTATCAAGAAAACAGACAAGACCCCCTGCTGATGCCACTGGCTCCACGATCAACTCTGTCAGCAGGGCAGGCACAGGTGGATGATACCATTTCTTTGACTGTGGATCATACATGGCTCCATCAATAGCCTTTCCAGGTATGGTGGCATAAATCCAAGGTTGGCGGGTTTGCTTAACTTGAGCACACTGTTGGGAGAAACTCTGTGAAGTCAGCAATGAATTCCAATCCTGGCAAACTGAACGAAAACGGAAAAATGTGGTTATGGGAAGTCTTGCTATCACAGTTTCGTAAAGGTCTCTTGGAAATTCTTTCCATACACACGGTTTCATAATTTCAGTCGATCTTGTAGTTGCAGTCACTTTTCTTCGAGCCTGTTTCTTTCGAGCTTTCTTTGCTAGTGGAGTTTCACCAGTTTGCAACATTTTGACACTTCCAGATCTACCAGCAGTCATCTGTGGAGCAATTTTCAAGAATGGCAAAAAGTGAAGTTCAACAAGATGGAATTATTCAAAAAGCAGAAAAATTGAAGACTGTACAATTACAAAACATTATCAGCAAATTCATTAAATGTAAAACTCAATTATTATTCCAAAAGAAAGCAATGAATACTTCAGTAAGCAGACTTGATATCCAGGATCAAAAGCATATTGAGTTCATGTAACCGGTGAATTACGTAAAAGATAAAGAGGAGAGAGTTGGAAACGGAACCTAAAACTTTAGATTTATTACATACAGTTAGTCTACAAACATGTAATTACCCACTTTTTTGATTGCTCAAACATGCATTAACTCGCACAGAATAGCTAAGTTCATGAGAAAAAATTATTCTAATCATCTATTTCCATTTCTCTCTTCAAACAATCTATCATCCGATCTGGTGTGATATATTAAAAACTTGGCAAAATCTGATGACGTGATTGAAGAGCTAAAGGTAAGCTGCTTGGAAACGGAATCGGCGTGCTTGCATAAATCAATAACTACGTAAGAGACACGAGTCCTGACTTGCGTATGTATTTAGTGGTAATGTCATTAACAATTAGAGTACGCTAACATTACGATGCTCCAAAGATGTATCAACATAAATATGGTATGGTAAAATTACTCATTGAGAAAGAATATATAGTATAATTGAAATAAATTGGTACAAGAGAAAGTATCTTGTTAACTTTTTTAGCAAATCATAGTTATAATTGTTGTTTGTCACTTTTATTAAACATGGAAAAGTCATATTGTATTGAAAATTGGAGGAAAGTCGCACTATAATTATTATTTGGGTGAATTGCACACAGGAGAGAACTCAGTGAGGGGATTGGTTTTTTATGTATGGGATGCCTGCGCAAATTCGTCCCCATCGTTCAAGCAAAAGATACTTATGGCCAATTAAACAAGTGACTTGCTGCTCGAGTTGGGTCGGTCAGGTATAACAACTATAAAAACCACCGTAAAGTTGAATAATCCACCAAGCAACTTAAATGAATGCAAAATCACAAGTACAAGATCTGAGAAAAATACATAAATCCACAATACAAATGCGCAATGCTTACCATTATCTGGGAACTAATCGAAAAAGAAGATAGAAGTAGCATCAGAAATAATTATTTGTTGCTAAAAATTTACATTAATGAGTAGTTAATAAGTTTGACTTTGAAAAGTAGAAAAATGAAACCCAAACATAGGTTAAATGCAAGATACACAACTCAATAATTAATTTTGGCATAGCATTACCTAAATCTGCAGAAGCATCAAACCAAAATCAATCGCGATATGAACCCACTGAACCGGCCAGAATCACGCTTCTCCTTACTTGGCAACACAATTAGACAGACAAAGAAACGATTCACAACGGCGGAAAGAGTTGTTTATATATGAAGATACAAAGTCAACAATTTATAGGGATTCTCTAAATTTTTTCTCCTTCCTATTACTTCACGGAATATACCGAATTGTTTCGTGTATGATTACGATTCTAATTACAGAAACTTCAGCTACTATTTTTATAAATATAAGGAAGAGTTGGAGATAAGGAAGAGACCTGAAGTGGTGTTGCGTAGAAATGGAAGAAGAAAAGTAATTCTTAGCAGCCATAGTTCGACTTTTCCAATGCACTCACTCTTCCCCAACCTAACTTTTTCTCTTTTCATATGGAGTCTTACGTAATATTAATAATTTAATACTAAAATGTTTACTCGTGACAATAATCAACAAGGTTAGTCACAACATCTGCAAGAAATTTGTGTAGTTTCTAGCTTATGATGCGTTGAACCACACAATACGCACATTCCATTTGTTAATTACTTTCGTAAGTTTAAATATTTTCAATATTATAACATGGATTGCACTAAAAAGTTTGTAACTCGGACCTAAAATAAACTATGTCTATAAAAGCGAATACAAATAGTAAAAATTGCACAAAAAAATTTACAAGTTATTCTATATGGAATCTCACATATTCTATTTAGAATTTTGCTACTTTGACAGAAAAATTGTAACAGATGCAGTGACATAATCCCAGTTAGCAACTAATGATTTGATGAGAATGTTTACTGCATTTAAAACAGTTGAATGATGAAATATCACGCGACATTATGTGACTATAACATAATTATTCTATTTATCCACATTCACAATTTCACACCACCCTAACCAAAAGTCTTCGTGATAAGAACTAAACGAGAACAATTTATTTGATAACATACCACTTTATTCATCTACTTCACACCATCCTGCCCAAAGTTATTTTGACGAAAATTACTGCTCTTATTTGACTTTGAGGGCAAAAGGCCACCTTATCCTCACACGTGTGCATAAAACTCACCAATTTGATTTAGCTAAAAAATAATAAAATATATGATTAAGAAGTTTATAAGACTGTTGATCTCTTTAAATGATTCATAACATAAATATTTATCAACATTTTAGTCGTGTTATTTTTAAAATAATCACGCACTTGACTGTTGATCGAAGAGTCATTCAAAAGTTAAAGCCAACAAAATGCTTTGTCGTGACTATGCTCGTGTTGGTTTCACACTAAAATTCATATGCAAAAGAAAAATGCTATTCATCCCAAGTGGGGATGCATCTCCAATCTATGTGGATGTAAATGATTGGTTAAATGATAGGTGAAATTAAATGACTTATTTAATTTCACATATCATTTAATACCACATTAACGCCACATAAATTGGGGATGCATCCCCAGTGGGGGATGAATTGCATTTCTCTATGCAAAATCTATTTCTGATTGAAAAGGGGCTATCGCAAGTAAACACTACTTATAAAATAACAACTTCTGGAAGAATTGAATTTCTTGAATTCTACATCACACAGACAGATTCTTCATCAATAGCGTTAATCAGTGCCAAGTTTTAGTTAGTTATTAAATACATAGGTTAGTCTCAAGTGATGTGCACTTCTGTTTCCCGTCCCAGGATTCAGGGGGACAAGACAGTCCAAACCATCGCACTTCTGCAGGTCTGAAATGTCACACATGCACAGCAACAATATTTCCAAACCACATCCGCTACAGGCTAGAATGGCCCAAACCGCATATTTTTGAGGATGATCTTGTATTCAACATTGAAACCATCTGGCTTCGTATCAAAGACTTGCGACAGACATGAGACAACTCAACAGGCCGCTAAGTATCCTAATTTTAGGACTTGGGCAACCTTTCTTACGGGCTATCATTTTATCAACCAACAGACCAACCATTTCACCCAGACTGACAAGCCAGGTTTAGATCTTAAGACTTCAAAGATATGTTCGACTGTTCTAGAACAGAGGCTCACCAAGAGCACAGACAACAAAACGAAATCAATAAACAAAATAATAGAAGCTCAAAATGCATGTTAACGTCTAAAATTGATGCGATACCCAAGTGTAGAATCCTAGATAACAGCAACCAGAATTAATCTAAAAATCTAGCCAGAATAAGCTGGCAGACAAAGGTCAACTTAATAAGGACAAAGATGACAAGATAAATAAGAGTTAATACAACAATTGGACACGAATTGTTAGAAGGCAGAGTAACTCGACAATTGCTGCGACAGGAAGATGACACAACTGACTTTCAGACACCCATACTGAGCAATGCTGGACGACAACTCTGGACCTTCTCAAACATGCCTAGTACTCACTGGAACAGTAGACAATTGTAATTAATAAATGCACAACGCTAAAAACTAAAAGTAGGAAGTGAACATGTAAACACTGCAAGACCAATTAAGGAGAAAAAAATTGAAAATATATCAACAGGAGGAGTTTCCATTAAAAGAAAATCTTTACATACAAATTTCCATGTTGAACACTTACTGAATTTATTGCACCTATACAGAAGACCAAATGACGTGTACAATTTCAAATAACAGAGGTTCATACAGAGTTCACATATCTCACAACTGACCTGATCATTTGCATCAGCTGCTTCTGGGGAGGTGCTATTTATCTCAGAAGGTTTTTCAGCACCACAATTCTGTCTGTTACACTTAGTCCTGAAGGGATAGTTTATATTGCCGCATTCCTCACACTTCCAGCTCCCTTCTGGCATGTCTGGTTATAGAACACAACATTTTAAGAAAGGAGAAAAATAATTTTTCCCTAAAATGGAAAACTATATTTGTGTTTTTGGACTTACTTGAGTTCTTGCCAGATCTTGCACCCTGCTGTAAAAATAAAAAGAAATAAACTACATGAGTCCCAGAACGGGCAAACTTAGAAACTAGAACACTGATTCAATACTAGATATCATCAGGAAGTCGTAGCTCAAACCTGGGATCCAGGCTTAGGAGTGTTGCACTTTCTCATGTTGCAAACCGTTCTGAATGAAAAATTGACATTTCCACATTTGGGACATGTCCAGTCATTATCACGAGTTCCATCTAAAAGAGCATTAAGAGAAAGATCTAATTCATACAATTGAATGTATATTAGCTCATAAATGAAAGCTTTGAATACAACGAAAGGAAATAACATACCTCCACCTTTCTTTTGAGAGTTATCTTCAGGGAAAAATCCAGGTCTTGGACCCTGCAATAAGTTGGACCACTTAATAGTAAAGGAAACCGCCACAAAGATATCCATTTATCACAGAATATTGTAATTCTTGATTGAGATGAAGAAACAATTCTGGATTTTCTGAGAAAGAAATAGGCAAGTGAAGAGCACAAACAACTGACACTCCATCACTAGCAAGCACCGTGTGGGATTATCGAAAACTTGACTAATATAGATTCTTAACCCATGCTATTCTAAAAATACCTTCACATATTTTACTAGGTATTAAGAAAAGGGAAGGAAAAAGGAACTGTATATGGCACTTACCATGGCAGAGCCCATAGACAAACCAAAGCCATATCGATCCATTAGTGGAGGCATGCCGAACATCCCGCCTGCAAGGTGCAAAATAAGATGGGGAATGATGAATCAACAATACAAAAACAAATACTTGAAAGATACAAGAAAAGGTTACAGTTCAAATATGTAAGATAAATAATGGACTGAAGCAATGAAATGGTAATCACAATAGTACGAACAAGGATTAGTTTTACGTTGTTAATGTTAAAATAGTTTCTACAGGCCAAAAGAGTGAAATAGAAGCCACAAAATGTATAACTGTGCTGATGTTGTAGAAGTAGGAATCTAAAACATCGAGAGACAAGGGACATACCATTTCCCATCATTGATCCACTTGAATAAGGAGCAGGACCAGATAAATGCAGGGGCCTATATGGGTTGCCTCCAGGGAGACGGTTACCATAGTTATAGTGATAAGCAGAGCCCCCAGAAAAAGGAACATCATATGGTGGTATAGATGTTCCATTAAAAAGAGAGGAACCATAAGGTGGTGCGCCCATATACATTGAGGGTGCACCAGATCCTAGATAAGGCGCTGCGGATGAGTAGCCCTGATGTGCTTGCATTGGCTTGGCAGCAGATTTCTAGAAAAAGAGGAGACGTTAGTTAATAGACCTTATCCGAAATTTTACAAAAGTAGGATTTTGATGAAAGCAAATAAATAATAAAAAGAACAAAGGTATCAACTCAGGGATAATTTATCTACCATAAATGTCTTCTGCCTGAAGACCCATGTGCACAGGGAGACATAATGAACCCATTTTACACAATTACCATTTAGAAAGTAGGATGATCAAAATCATGACTAGCAGAAGAATATAATGATTTCAAAATGCACCATGAACCATTCTTTCCTTTTCTCACTGGGGAAGAGCGTGAGGAACTTCCACACCAAGAAATAGAGAGATGGTATCCACCTCTTGAAATAAGAAACATAGTCTTTCAAGTAGATGAGATCTAGTTTTAATGAATGCACATAGACAAAAAAGATCCAGTGTAAAGTTGTACAAAAGGAAAGTACTAACTCTTCATAATGCAAATTCTGGCAATTTAATATTAAATGATGTTGAATTCTTACAGGGTTGTGATCAGCTGGCCTAGGCTGAGTACAATTACGCATATTGCACGTTGTCCTAAAAGAGAAATTGACATTGCCACAACTAGGGCAGGTCCAGTCATCCTCTCTGCGACCACCTACAAACACAAAACACAGAATGCTCAATAAATAGGAAGAACAAAGGATAACCAAGAAGCTAAACAATTTATGGTCATTCAAGGTCTTGAGCTAGTCGTACGAATTGAAAACCAAAACGAAAAGATTCCTAATCCAAGTGGGTTTTGAAACATCAGAATTCTATACTTAGTCATAGTGTGTATTACTCATAAAATATTGTAAAGCTAATTAAATTCCATTTAAAAAACAACTACCAATTTTCTAAAATGATGGACAGATCAATAAAGTAGGAGGAAATCAAATAACTATATATACTATATTCAACTCATTCATTGCCCCTTTATATATACTATATTCAACTCATTCATTGCCCCTTTTCAATTCTAACTTGTAAAAGATGCCTTCAGCATAAGTGAGACAAAAAAAAAAGTGCTTTTGTCTTCCTCTAAAAAGGCACGTCACTATGAAATTTTTATAATTGTGAAAGTTTCAAATGCCAAGAGTTTTTTCTTCAGTCTTCAATCATAGCTTCAACCCAACGAAACACTGTCAGAGCTTCTCTATTCCACACCAACGGTCGCCCCTCACTTCCAACCAGCACTGTTGCCGCTCATTTCCACATACAATTTAGCCATTAGACAGTGGCACTCCTCTCTAGGTTAGTTTTTCTTATTCCTTTTTTCTTTGTTTCAAAAATGCATATGACAAGTAGGTGGTGTGTCCACTACAGAAAAACCAAAAAAGAGAGAAACATGCCAATTGGTATGTCGGCCAACGATGGTGATACTGACTCCAGCCATTTTGCAGCATCAATGTTTCCTAGTTCCAAGATATGCTATAACATTTTTCATATCCAGTATGTTTCAGATATGCATACTTGTTACGTTTCCAATATGTTATCAACATGTGTCGAGCTCTGGTCAACATTCATTGCATTCGAAAATTGAATGTTCACGCCCCGACATATCTTATATGTTATAAATATGCATACTTCAAACCTATGAATACATAATCAACACACACTAAGCACTTCGAAAATATGCATAGTACTTATGAAAATGCAATTGAAACATGAAGAATTCAACATGAACTGCAAACAATTTCCTTTGACGTGTTGTGCAAGTAGACAGGAGTTTCAAATTCGTCTAAGCAACCTTTTCAGTCGTAAGATGTACTATATTGGACTTTTAACTGTCCTAAATATATAATTCCGCTTTCAAAGAAGAATTGGAATTGGAGACATTCTAAATATATAACTCAGTTTTCAAAGAAGAATCGGAAATTATCATGCGTAATCATCTCCGTTCCACACAAAAAAGAATGCAATAAAAAAAAACAACGAATACAACATACAATTTTGCCACTTGTTAAATCCGAAAGGTATAGACAAAAAAACGTGTAATATATGAGCATAAAAAAATTTATGACATTGAGGAGACAACAGGCATACCATCAGTACGTGCCCGTTTAGCTGCTGAAGAATTTCTGTTATCAACCTGTAAACGAACAAACGCCTCAGCTTTTTCACATAGATCTCAATCGAAATTCACAAAACAGATCAGAATGAATGAAAATTCACACAATAAAAACAAGAAATTGTTGAGCAATGAAACCGACTGATAAAAAAAACTCTAATTCACATTCAAGCAGCACTAAATAAACAGTAAAATGCAACGTAAAATTAATAAAATTCGGTATGAATTACCTGCGACATAGTGAAGATGAATTCCGAAATTAGAGATAAAAACGGCGAGTAGGATCGGGAAATTCTTCACTTCGTTATAGGGATTAGGCGCAGGCGCGAAGAGCGAAGAATGAAAGGGGGGAGGTTTTTCTGAAAATAGAAGGGTTTTCTCTTAATTCCTCCTTTATGAGTCAATCAGTCAACGTTGAGCTAGTTATGACCGGCCCAAGCACGGTATAAATGGAACGAGACCCAAGCATTTTTGCTAAAGGGAAAAGTTCTTTGATTATGTATTAACTTTGCCAAAATCATAAATCAGGTGCTAAGGTTCAAAATTGTAAAAATCAGATTTTTATTAATTAATTAAATATTTAATTGTAATATAATATAATTAACCCACATCCACCACCCCTACTGCTCCGACGACAGTTTCGGTGGCCACTCTACTCGGCGACCATTCTGGCGACCATTCTGGCGACTACTCCAACGACTTTTTCGGTAGCCGTTCTACCGCCGCTTAATTCAGGCGACTGTTCCGATTTCGACAATTGTTAAGGTCACAGTCATATATAATTTGGTCGCAGATATCTCATTAATTAATTAAAAATTAATTTTCGATCACGGCTTATCAAATTATTTGGTCACAGATTATTTCGAGGTCACAAATCAAAAAATTTATAAGTCACAATTGACATTTTTGGTCATTGATAAACAAAACTATAGGTCACAGATTTTTAATTGGTCACAAATTAAAAAAAAATTAGATAACAGAAGTCACATATTTCCAAATTAGTTGGTCACATATTATATTTTTAGTCACAGATTATCGAATTTTAAGGTCATGGTTTAATAGTTAGTCATAGAGAATTGTATAGTTGTGAAGAGATGCTTATGAAATTGCAAGATTCCATTGATGAAATTGAAAATAGGAAGAAGTCAGAAGCTCTGAACTTGAAGAGGAACAATGAGCTAGCACTCAAACTCTTGGAATTGGAAACAGAATTGCAATCTGTACTTGCAGAAAAGCATGACAAAGTCAATGCTTATGATCACATAAATGCAGAATTGGAATGTGTAACTCTGAGCCTTGAATGTTGCAAAGAAGAAAAAGAAAAGCTTGAAGCTTCTTTCAGAGAATGTGAGGGGGAAAAATCTCGATTTGCTGTTGAACTTGACTCGATAAAAGAACTGGAGAAATTCAGATCTTCCAACACTGTTAAAAAGGAAGAAAATAATGAGGTGGCTGAAGTAGACTACGTACTCAATGAGTCATGTAGAAACTCTTCCCCTAATTTCTTCTATGCAATGTGTTCAACGAGGCTAGAAGACGGAGAGGGAGGGAGGGGGCGGTGGAGGCGACGAACAGTGGAGAGAACTGGAGAGAGAGAGAGAGAGAGAGAGAGAGGACGGATGGTAGAGAGAGGGAAACAGACGGTGGTGGTGGATTCGCGACGCCGACAGTGAGTAGAAGGAAGGGAGGGAGAAGGGATGAGAGGAGATGAGAGAGAAGGGGAAGAGGAGAAGGAGGCGGCGGGCGGTGGTGGTGGATGATTCGTCGTTGTGAGAGAAAGGTGGTGGATGCGGGGGGTGGTGGAGGCGGCAGGTGAGAGGGTGGAGAGAAATTAAATGAACTAATGTAGGGTTTGGATATATCTAAGGTTTTATACATAAAATAAAATACCTGATTTTTTAATACATGAACCTTAAACTTGAATTTTAAAAACTCACAACTTAACACTTGGTTTTTGGTAATTTTCCCTTTGTTAAATTTCCAATTTATCTCGGTAAGTTGACTTAAATAGCATTATAATAGGCACTCTTTATGTTAAGAGACTTATTTTAATATTATTCACTTATTATTTGGAAGCTCCATTATTTGTTTTGGCGGGTTGTTGCTTGACCGAGTCTTTAGTCTTTTGTTTAGTGGTTACAAGAAAATTGCTTTTTCTTTGCCTAGTTTATAGGAGTTGAGGTTAGTGCCTCAGTATGGTAGACTTAGTTGTTTTTACTTTCTATATGTACTGCCTATTTATAGGCCACTATTTCATTCAATGAATAACACAGAGCTTCACAAACTGCATACGTTTTCTTTTATTTTATTTTGTATCAGTGGTATCAGAGCTACAAATAGGAGAGAAAAATGTGAGAGTCCCAAAACAGTAAAAAAAAATAGTAGCCATTAAAACTTTATGTACTGATCGTGGTAGAGAATATAGCTCAAAAGAATTTGAAGGTTTTTTTGATGATCAAGGTATTCGAAGGGAATTTACAGTTGCTTATACACTGCAACAGAATGGTGTATCGAATAGGACAAATAGAACCATCCTCAACATGGTGAGAAGCTTGCTTGCAAGAGGGAACATTCCAAAGAACTTTTAGCTGGAGGCAATTAATTGGAGCATTCATGTGTAGAATAGAAGTCCTATCTTTTCTGTCGGAACTGGACACCCGAGAAGGCTTGGAGTGGGCGGAAACCAATTGCAGATCACTTTAGAATTTTTGGTTGCATCACTTATGAACATGTCCCAGTTGAGAAAAGGAAGAAACTTGATGATAAGGGTGAAACGTGTGTCTTTCTTGGCATAAGTGAAACTTTCAAGACTTATAAATTGTTCAATCCACTCACAAAGAAGATCGTAACCAGCAGAGATGTCATTTTTGATGAGAAGAACACTTGGAATTGGATTAAAAATTGTTCACGGCAGCAGCCAATTTCAGTCTTTTTTTATGGAGAAAACGAAGAAGAAAGGCAGTAGCAACAATTTCTACAACAACAAATTCTAGCAGCTAATGTTCTCGAAAATTCACCAATTCCAACAGTTGCTATCACTTCACCAACATCAGTAGAATCTATTGATGTAACAGCTGAATCACGTCTACGCCGTGTTCCAAAGAGGCCCGGATGGATGATAGATTTTGAGGTACCCGAAATTGACCAGTCTGAGGATCCAATTACTTACCTTGCTCTTTTTTCAGATTGTGATCCTACAATTTTTGATGATGCTGCCGAAGAATCAAAATGGCGGAAGGCGATGGATGATGAAATTGCCGCAATTGAAAGGAACAACACTTGGGGGTTGACTTATCTTCCAAAAGAACACAAGACTATTGGTGTCAAGTGGGTTCACAACACAAAATTGAAGGAGAACAGAGAAGTTGATAAGTACAAAGCTCGACTCATTGCAAAGGGGTACAAACAAGAATTCGGAGTCGACTACAAAGTAATGTTCACTCCAGTAGCAAGGCTTGACACTATTTGGTTGGCGTTATCCACTGCTGCCTAAAACTCATGGTCTGTTTATTAGCTTGATATAAGGTCAGCATTTTTGCATGGGAAATTGGAATAAGACGTGTACATTGATCAACCACCTGGATATGTGAAGCAAGGTCACGAAAATTAGGTATACAAGTTAAAAAAGGCATTATATGGACTAAAAAAAGCACCTAGAGCTTGATATAGTTGTATAGATGCTTACTTTGCTAAGAAATGTTTTCTTAAATGTCCTTATGAGCATACACTCTATACTAAATTTGGAGTAAATGGGAAGATGCTTATAGTTTTCTTATATGTTGATGACCTAATTTATGTCAGGAATGATGGAGTCAGGAATGATGGAGTCATGCTTGCTGATTTTAAGAAATCTATGATGAATGAATTTGATATGATAGATTTGGGGCTGATGCGCCATTTTCTTGGCATTGAAGTATTGCAACCTCCTGCTGGTATCTTTATTTCTCAAAAGAAATATGTCTTTGAAAATTTAGACAAGTTCCAAATGAAGGATTGCAATCCAATTTTGACTCCAACTAATGATACTCTATACAAGCAGATTGTTGGGAGTCTTATGTATTTGACGTTGCCAAGACCAGATATTATGCATGCTGTCAGTTTAATCAGCTGATACATGGAGAATCCAACTGAAGTTCATCTTTTATCAGCAAAGAGAATTTTTTGCTATTTGAAAGGTACTGCGGATTTTGGAATTTTTTATAAAAATGGTGGAGAATCAAGTTTGATTGATTTTTCAGATAGTGACTATGCTAGAGATATTGAAGATCGAAAAAGTACTTCTGGTTTTGTTTTTATGATGAGTTTAGGAGATGTATCATGGTCATCAAAGAAACAACAAATTGTGACTTTTTCAACTACAGAAGCTGAATTTGTTGCAGCTGCTTCATCCTCATGTCAAGCTATCTGGTTGAGGAAAATGCTTGAAACACTTCAAAGTCAGTAACAAGGTCTAACAACAATCCATTGTGATAACATTTTAGCAATCAAGATTTCAAAGAATCTAGTTTTGTATGGAATGAGTAAGCATATTGATGTTAGATACCATTTTTTGCGCGATCTTTGCAATGATGGTATAATTGATTTGGTGATCTATAAAAGTGAAAATCAGGTGGCTGACATTATGACTAAACCACTTATGCAAGCTGCCTTATAAAGCTTAGAAGAATGCTTGGAGTTGTCTGTTTAGAGGAACCTTAGTGTTGTTGAATTGTTGAAGTCGTTTGTTCTAAACTGATTTCTGCAGATATCAGTTTAAGGGAGGGTGTTAGAGACTTATTTTAATATTATGCTTATTATTTGGAAGCTCCATTATTTGTTTTGGCATGTTGTTGCTTGACCGAGTCTTTAGTCTTTTGTTTAGTGGTTACAAGAAAGTTGCTTTTTCTTTGCCTAGTTTATAAGAGTTGAGGCTAGTGCCTTAGTGTGGTAGACTTAGTTATTTTTTCTTTTTATATGTACTGCCTAATTATAGGCTATTATTTCATTCAATGAATAACACAGAGCTTCACAAACTGCATACGTTTTCTTTTCTTTTATTTTGTATCACTTTAGTATGTCGAAACTACTGTTTTGGGTTTTGGGTGTAAACCACCATCTTCTGAAATAGACGACAACCACGGGTGGATTGAGGATCTAACTAAATCTTTTAAATTGGACTAATATGTGAAATAACTTTTATGCATAAAAAAAATCTTTTTTTACACAATATTAAATTGGGCTGGGGCTGGCCTAAGCTGTCAGATTACTACAGTTTTTAAAATTTTATTCAATCTTGAGGTGATGAGGAACAAAGCAACAATCAAAATGCATTGAACCTTAACTTTAGCTGACTTCGAAAGAGATTAACATTGACATATAGGATTGGGCGTAAAGGATGATTGAACTGATTCACACTCAAGGAGAAGGATATAGGGAAAAGTTGACTCAAGTTCTTTTAGTTGTTTTTAGCCAAATAGAGCACTTAATTTTTTCAGATACTAGTCAACCATAAGATGTGACTATATAAGAGAAACATTTTTTTCATTGTTCTAATCAACCATGCTACACAAACAGGCTCAAAAATAAGGGGACACATGTCGACACGTAATTGGACAATTTGAAAAAAAATAAAAACACAACACCCAATTATTATCTATTAAATCACCCCGTCCCTCCATCCCTGTCCTTGAGCATGTTCAAGGAGCATTATTCTTGTTCTAAAAGATCTATATTGAGAAAGTATCAACTTGCCGTCAAATGGAAAATGTTATTATTTGTGGAGTTGTGCCGGTGGATGTCACATGTTCGACAACTTCATCTAAAAAATTATATGCAAGTTCTATATAATAAAATAGCACATTTATTTAAATATGATCTCCAACACATCAAATTCAACTTTTTTATTAGAGACCTAATTGCCGGTAATATTTGAACAGAGGAGTTTACTTCATTTATTACCATGTTAATTTTTTGTCAATGTAAAAGAAACTGGATGATAGTAGTACTAAACGATAAGTTGGATAGTCAAGTACAATATAAATCAAGTTACAAATTTAACAAAAGCTCGAGTCAAAAGAAGTGAAACTCCACTTATAACATACAGCCAGCCAACAAGTAAAAATTAATGTCATGCGTTGGAATTAAACCCCCGCAGGAAATGCATAGAAGAAGATGGCCATGACTACGGTCATAAGTACTGTGAGTTGCTGCGGTCCATGCCGGAATTCATTTGAGCCGCCAGTATTTGTTGGGGGTGATGTCCCCGGCGTGGTCATTGTAGCATTAGCGTTGGTGAAAATCGCAGCATCAGAGGAATTTGCAGGCAAGTGTAGGAGCTCTGCTCATTAAGCGAAATTGCATGTTAGTTCGGTAAACTGTTTATGAACCGAATGATCGTTCACATAGAAAATTGTCATATAAAGATGGCACAATTTCAACATATATTTGTGACAGAGAAGATTAGGACACGTCGAAAATCAAGGGACGATTACTTGGTAAAAAATGTATTGATGGGCACAAATCGACATCTTAAGCTAAAGTACTAAAACATACAAGTCATTTCTCAAGGGAAAATAAAGCTGAGATTTGTTGGTTACTAAATTGGCTACATAAACAAAATAATTGCTCTCAACTATTCCTGATTACGTTCAACACTAGTTATTAATTAATGAAAACTTTGACAAAATTAACTTCATAACAAGCATTTAAAAATAAATAAAAAAATTATAAATAAAGTTATACTATACAAACTCATCTAGAGCTGGGTGTGAGTCGGTTTTGACGTAATCCCGACACAAAACCAATTTAGAGCATATTTGGTAGGGTTTAAAATCCAATTCAAATTGAAAATATAGCCGTTATTTGATTCCACCCGTCTAATAAAAGTTAACAATAACGGCTAGTTTTTCAATTTTAATCCGATTTTAATCTCTATCGAACACGCCCTTAGTCTGTTTGGGTGAATTGAGGCCAAACTGACCCAATCCTGCTGCAGAAACCAAACCTATTCAGTTTGGGTCAATTCACTTTGTATATGGTCTCATCTTAGGTCCAAATCAATGAAAAAAAATAAATATCAAATTTTGTGAACATTTCACGATGGTAATCTCAAGTTTCATGGGCAAGTTGGGCAAATCTATTCAAAAGTCGAGTATGCTAGGGAAACATCGAGTTTTGCAAAGCAAACTCGATATTTGATGCGGGACAAGTATTCAGTTAGTTATGTGGTTTGGTTCGAGTTTGAATCGCATCGGTTAGGATGTTTAACCCTCAACCTGACCTGAACCAATTCGATTTGGTAGCCACAATAATTGACCCCAAACCACGAAATTTGAGAAAATTTACCCTGGTCGGATTTTTGTCCAGCTCTAAACACATTTGAATAAGATGTTTTCTTATTTTAAGCTATAAAAGGTCGATAATTTCACCTTAAATTAGAAAACCCATTTATAAGTAAGGTTGATGTTTTAAGCTTTAGCCCAGCATGCATGCTAAAACATTCTTAAACATAAAACTTACTGGGGCATTCAGTGATACTAGCATTGGTCAATTTGCAAACTGAAGGCAACTGAAGCAAGCGTGATTCCTGAACCCCCGTTTGCTTAATGTTAGGATTAGAACCATTATGGATCTGCAGAATAAAGAAACAAAGACAAGCCGGTTCACTTTCCTTGAGATCCTTCACCGCATCGCAGCACCCGGTGCTCGGCGCTGCCGCCTTCCCCGTGGCAAATGCCAAGCACGCCGTCACCTTCTGAAATTCCGCCGAGCACTTGTTTTCTAACTCCGTATCTGCACCTCCGGCCACAAAACCACCGCAAATAGCCATGAAAACGAAGAGAGTAGCTAAGAATTTAGCTTCAATTTTCTTCACCATTTTGACTGATTTGCAGGAGAATTGTTCTACCCAGATCCTGGAATGTGAATATCTACTAGATATGTTAAAGTTTGGAATTAAAGGGGGGAACGTGGCGGTTGAGGTGGTATTTATGAGAGTGTTAATGATGTGGATAGTTACCTGTTTACTCAGTGCAGCTGCCATCCATTGATGAGGATGACCACGCGGTGCCAAACACTTCTAGGCTGTTTTAACAAAGTTGAATTTGAATAGGGATGGCAAAAAAATCGGACAAATTCAATATCCACTAGGCCCAGCCTTGAACGGGGTGGGGATTTTTCGTCTAATAGGGTATTCGGGTGGATGTCGGGTCGGGTGCAGTTAACTGGTACCCCGTCCCATCCGTCCCGTTTAATTTTTTTTTTTTAAGTATTCAATATTATAAATGAAAAATTTTACGAAATTTCATTAGTTCAAATAGAAAATGACAACTAAGATTATTTAAAAAATTATGATAAATAATAAAAATCTTAATTTACCAAATATATTTAAACAGTTTAATTTTTAAAAATAAATACAAAAAATATATATTATTATCTCATTTTAATGAATTGGAGCAATAAAATGAATTATAAAAACATAATAAAAAAATTAAACGGAGTAGTAAACGGGACAAAGGCCCGGCCCGGCCCCGTTCCCGTCCCCCCTGGAGCGGGGCGGGGGCTAGGGCGAGAGAAGTTGCCCCGACGCCAACTCACCCCATTGTCATCCCTAAAGTCGATCATTTTAAATGGAACTCGACTAGAACCAAAAAGTGTGATGCTTATGCCTACATGGTTGATCACGTGTCTGCCACCTATGCCCCAGTTTGATGATTATTATTGTGTAAAAAAGATGTTTCGAATAGTAATTTTTTTTGAAGAATGTACCATTAAAAAATGAAAAAAAAAAGTTTTGAATTTGCGTGCAAAATATTTTATTGTGTAAATGTGGTTGAATATAAGTATGAGAAATAATTTTTTTTTAAAGGAAGTCAAACATGGGCTAAGCAAATGACACGCAAGTATTAGTGTTCCTCTTCAATGGATTTATTTTATACTCTTATCTAATGCTTTGAGGTCACTCATATACAACAATTACATAATGAAGACAAATGTTACAAAATCGTTCACAAACTTACAATTAGAACCAGATTACCAAATATACTAAGGCTCTGTTTGATAGATATGATTTTCAACTTTTGCACATGTTTGATAGCAAAATTTTCCACGGATTTTTTTTCACATTTCCTTATTTTCCAACTTTTTGAGGAAAATGTATTTTTGTTGTTTTGGTTGGTTTTGATTTTCCAATTTTTTTCTCGATTGGAAAAAATTCTAGACATAATGGTAAGAAATTTTATTACTTTTATTGACAATTTTCATACAAAACAAAGCCAAACGAATGGTAGTCGATATGGTAAAATTTTTTTTGATGGACAATTTTCATAAAAAAATAAGCCAAACGAAACTAAACTTTCAACATTTTTCAAGTGAAAAATTATACCAATCAAATACAATTAATTACAATTCACAGTAAAACAATTTCTAGACAATTCAATTCAGTGTAAAATATTTTATTTCCACCAATTTTCCACATTTGCAATCAACGAACCCTAAGATATCATAAACGCAGGCTCAGATTATTGTACCATTCTGTATCATAGTGGCCATACAAATTCAAACCCTAAAAGATATTATTGAAGTTGCTTCTATGGACCAGAAAACCTAAACCCAGACCCCAAACACACTTTTCACTTACTAAATCACAAAAACTCTCACAAGAATTCACTTGGAATACTCAAGAATATGTCCAATAAGAGGTTGAAGATGAAGCAGAGAGAAAACCCTAGTCTCTTGAAAGAATCAG